GTTTTCGAAAATTTACAATGAGACTATCTTTTTTTGTTGTGCTTTAAGTTTCATAGCCATATAAAACGATTGGTCGTATCAACGTTTTATATATTTTTATTTTGGTTTCGCCAGATAGAGACTTTGACTTTAGTAGATGTTGAAGGGCATAGTATAGTGTATTTCCAGATTATATTCTAGATTGTATTTCTTCTCTCAGCATGTTTTGCAGTTGAAGTTTGCACTCAAGTGCTTACATATGTCCGTTCGTTTGACTTTCATACTATCGACTTGTATGCGGTCGGAGTTTATATCAATGCGCGTACACCGGGTTTAAAAAACTATCGGTTGCAAATGAGGAGAAGGCATTATTTATATGTTTGTTTATTATCAGTGTTGCGTTGCCATACATTTATGACTTACAGTTGTTATAAAAATGGCTGCGCGCCAATGCTGTTCATATTCCACTGAGTTCAGATGGACGATAGACCTAGCTAATAAATAATACCCTTTTGGGTATATATAAACCAAATCTAGAGTTTACGGGGGGTGAAGAAGAATTTCACATCAGTAGGTAGATTTTCTGAGTATGCTGCAAATCTTCGAAATGCCGCCCCTAATAGCTTCGCGTTGTCAGCTCAAACGTTCAAATTCGATTTTTCTGCTTATGCCGCCCCTTACGGCGTCGCCTGGTGCGATCGAATTTTTGTATCATAGCCCTGTTTCCGTTTTCAAATCCTTGAATGCTAGCTCCACAAAGGATATGTTCCCTTATATTATTAATAAAGCCATGTTTTGTGAGATAACATGTTATCTTCAATTAGTGGCAGATTTTGAGTAAATGTTATGTTAATTTATGCTGTATGTTACTGTTTGTGTCCATTAACTACTGGCTTTCACGGTAATTGTTTTTTCCTGGAATATCAGTGGCATCCAGATCAAGTCTGTGGAGAATATTCTTGCCTTGGTGTTTTACGTTGCGGGAGAGGTGGCCCTAGTGTTGTCCATTGGATGTTAGTAGTTTCGAACGTGGGGGGGGGGGGGGGGGGGGGGGGGGGGGGGGGTGTCTATGGTGAACCCAAAACCCATCTTCTATCCTCTGATTTTCAAACTCACTTGACCCAGTGTTTAGGCAAATGTTAAAAAAAGGGTGGGGGGGGGGGGGGTGTGAGGCTTAGTTTCCTCTATCTTCTTTTATTCGCCCAAAATAGATTGTTATGTTGTCTCTGGTATAAAGTTAACTGTCTTGTGTAAATCCCTCAGCAACTTGTAATGGTCGGCTTGAAAAAAAAAAAGCCATCTTGTGGTGGCGACTTGAGAGGGTCATGAAAAGGACAGATAGCCTCCATGTTTTGAGGTACTGGTAGGTCAGGGTTAGCGTTAGATGCAGCAATGCTGACAGATCAAGGAAATTAATGGCAAAGGCAAAGTCACGAAGTAAGAACACCCAAATTCTACCCAGTTATGTTCCAATTTTCTCAGGCATTTGTTTTCAAGCACATTTAACTTTTGTTCCATATTTTTAGGGATTCAACTTTCACTGGCATGTTAAAACTGAAATAACATAGCTGTAAATTTAGACTTCTGTATATTTTGTCCAGGCTTTTAAAAGCTGCAGAAGCCTTGCCAATATTAAACTTATTATATTTTGGTCATACACTCATTTTTATTTCAATTGCAGTCTCGGTGATAATTATTCTTTCATCCTGGTCAATGTTTTTTTTTTTTAACTCTAGCTACTTTCCCACTCTTGCTACGTTTGTTCCCACAGCTGCACTTTGATGACGATGTCCAGATTCACAACATTGTAGATGGGTTGTTTCAATACACCTGTTTAAGGATTTCCATGTTTACTGGGATGTTACATTTTAGTTTTTTTTTTTTTTTTTCATGTTTAAAAATATAGACAAGATATTTTTTTTAATGACAATAATTTAACCTGAAAAATCACACAAATTTATCAGGTACATTCAGAGCCTGATACAACAAATTAATGTATAGTTTTAATGATAAACTCATGAAATCAGTTAAAAACTCACAAATGTTGACAAGACTATTTATTGACATACAACGGAGATATTTCATATTATAAATATCTAAGTGAATATTAAACCAACTACTGTTTGCAGATGACCATTTAATGACACGTCAATGGTTGAGAAACATTGCAAACACACAATTCTGATGAATACCACATGTAGAATCTTCTTCTTTTCCTTCTTCTTCTTCAGCATTCTGAGCCCTTGAGGTTCATTGCTGCAGATATCACCTGCCTGCATTCATCTCTCTGGTTGGTCTTCTCTTTCCAGTTGGTGACCTCAGGTGACACATGTCAAATCTAATATGAAAAATTAAATAAGTGGGAAATGCATTTTGCAAGTTTTTCTCTTTCATTTTTGTGTACCTTGCTATTAGCCTAATGGCTGTATTGTTATGGTAATTTTGTTTATATGGCTTCAGTTGTAAATGTTTAATTAGGTTAAAGCAGAAAAAAGAATTCCCACCTCATCTGGAATATAGTTTTGCACCTTATAAACATGACCAGCATATTCCAAAAACTCATCAACTCATCATGTAAATTAAAAATCATAAATTGTAATTGTCATAAATCATTTTAATGTCTTCACGTAACATTATTAAATGTTAAAAAAAAAAAAAATTTTCAACTGAGCATCCTTTACAGAACCTTTACAGAACCAACCCAAGAATTTATTGGCTGCTTGGTTTTGCTATGCAATTTAACATTCAGTTTTTTGCCATTGCTTTATGAATGGCGGCCCTCACTAACACTGTCAAAATCCATGCAAAGCAGTTTGCTACTAACTGGAAGTACTTCAGAATTACACAGTGTGTTTGCAACAGCTGAGCCACAGACACCCAACGAATTCATAACATCAACAACAAAAAACTGTCAAAACTGGTAACTAATATTTGGTTGGGATCATTATTGCTGGCCCCCTGTGATGACAGACTATTTGTCTGACAATAACTATTACAGAACATCCTGCTTCTGATTATGAATTTTGCAACATAATCAACATTGACTTTTTGTATGGCAAAGTTTTAACACTATTAAACATTCTCTAAGTAAATTTTAATATTTCCTTGTTTACTCTGGCAGTTCTGTGAAACATTGAATCACAATGTACAAGTAATATAAATTTAATAAACATGTTTGCTTTAAAAGCAAATCTTATCCACTGGGCAAACAGAAGCAGTTATTTAGATTGAATTGCTGTGATTTTTATTCCTCAATTCATTCTTCGTATGATATTTTTCCTGTGGTTCTTGTACTGTATTTTTCTGGCTCTGTCTCTTGTAATGACAACAGCTTTTTGCTAGCTTCTTTTTTTCCAGATCTCCCCATTGTTGTAAATTTGAGCTAAAGCATCCATCAGTCTCTATTTTCTTTAGTCTGAATTAACAAATCTTCAAAATGAAATTATCTTCTTTCTGTCCTCCATCTTCCAAGGAGCTTTTAACCACTATATACATCACCTTTTCTAGGGTATGGAATACTCATAGCATATGGTGCTACTAATCTTTGCTTTCCTTATGATTCCCAGTAATACACAGGTGAGCCTGAACAGATATAATTATGGTGTACAATCAGACCATGTAAGATATGATTTACTTAAGCATAACCTACGAAGCATATACAATGAAGTTATAATTAATTTTTGATGGCATATGTATGTGGTTAAATTCTTATATGATTAGTTATGTGCTGAGATGCTGTATTAAGCAAAGTGCAAGCAATTCATTAAAAAAATGCCATGTCTTTAAATGTTGTTGGCACTTTTCCAGATAATAGTGCTAAACTGTGATATATGAAGGCATGTGAATTACAGGCCATGGCGATGATGGGTGTGATTAGCAAGAGCCATCTGCATTAAGATAAGTCCTTTCACAATCACAGCATGGGGTTTCAGGACTGTTCTTGCCATCACAAGTTTTTAGTGTTCTTTTTTTTACAGACTCAGCTCGAACCCTACCTGAAACCCCTTTTTTCTCCCCTTTTTTCCCACCCTTTATGTAACATGATCTACAACATTTTGTTTTCATGAATCTACCTCAACACCTGTATCATTCATGCCCCACACGCACACATCTTTATATCATAGTAGAAGCTGACCTTGATGTCTTTTACACATCTTTAATTCACCATGGATGTCCTTAAGGACTACCATTCTTCTTTCTCCAAGTGTGACCCAGCCATCTCAGCCTTTGGAGACTGAGCATTCAGAAAATGATCTGATACCTGCTCTCCTCAGATGTAGCATATAATAATATGAATATGCAATACAAAGCATCAAAAAGATTGTCACAGTCTGAAAGAAAAAAAACAACAACAAGCAGCTAGTGGCCAACCTAAGACCACAATTAATGCTTTACCACATTGTTACAAAATGAAACCACAGTCTCTGAAAGTCATAAGCAATATTAAATATACATTACTTGAGGGCAGCAGAAAATAGAAGATATGAAGAATACAGGAAAAATACACATTTTTGATGTGTTACTTGCTGAAACTGTTTTGGTATGTGCAGACTACCAAGCTCTTTTAAAATGAAATCACCTAAATTGGACATTTGATTATGTTTCTTGGATGTGTGGAGACAAAGTTTGGCACACAAATCTTACTCCAGTATGCATAAAAGATGTACACAAATAAAAAACAATTTTTAAAAAAAGGGGGTGGGGGGGGGGGGGAGGAGTGGGGGAATGAAATCTTTGCCAGATTTTTTCAGTTTTGAAGCTCTTATATAAGATGGAAATTCTATGCAAGTACTTAACATATACATCTGTAAAAGCAAAATAGAATTATAAAATCAAACTATAAATCAACTATTGATTTGCCAAAAAAAGAAAATTGTTAATCCAATAACAACTGTAACAAGAACATAGTAGTAATCAATAATGCAAAATTAAACAACATGTAGGGAATGATAATTTCTGGTCACACAATTCTTTTGATCTGTGTCACACTCTTAATTATAAGATGGAGGATGCAGAACTGTTTAATCCTGAGAAAGAAAGAAAAATAAGACAACTTACATATTTTTTTAGGGTTAAAACAAACACGGTTGCCAGATTTTAAAATCCAGAAACAGGCTCATCTCTATATTTTTGAGCAACCGGGACATTTCTTAAACACATCAGGGACCAGGTTGCCCATTGCCTGGCCGGTAGACAACTTCATCATTGGTCGGGACAGTATTTGGGTCTGTCTTTCTTGATTGCATCAATACTGCAAGGTCCTTTCCAGGGCTACTTGATGGCGAGCAATTTTAAGCCATACTATATGGTGCAAATAAATCTAGTCACAATAATAACCAAAAGCTCCTCCTTTAGAGATGCTGGTTGAACGTGACGATTTCTTTTTTCACAAAGTCAAGACAAGTCAATTTGTTAAAATGTGAAGAATTTAAAGATGTTACATAAATTAATAGTGTTAACTCTTCTGTTTATAATAATAAGATAATATTTTATACCAGTTCATGATAAATATTTCTAACTATTTTCTTTGTATTATCAGTTTCTCATAGTCATTATGAAACCCCTTAATATAATCATAACAGTTTATTATGGAGTCTTCAACTTCTTCTGCGTTCATCCGAAGATGTAATTGCATTATGTCCGATTACAGCATGGTTGCAATATTTGCACCTTTCGGTCAACACATCCGACTCCTGCAGGCATTTGTTAATCGAGTTAGCCTTCCTGGTTAGTTTCGTGGGACACTGCAGTCTCATTATTGTATGATCATTTTTCTTTACCAGGTCACAGGTGGAGCCCCACATCAGGTCGGTCCAGAGAAGCCACATAATGCTGATCAGGCTGGGGCAAAACATGAGCAGTCCCCGCCATCCAAGGAGGCTTCCATTAATGCAGAGCTAATACATGGTGCTCTGAAACTGGGCTCACCCAAGGAATCCTCACATCTGCTCATGACTGTTTAACTTCACTTCCATATACTGAACATCTCATACATCATCGGCTATGTCTTTAGTAGGCAGTAAGCAGCCTGCAGACCTGGGATTTCAATTCATTTTAACGATGTAAAAAAATATTTCTGCCAGACTGAATACTGAGAAAGCATTCAATTTAACTCTTGTATGTTTCACATCTTCACCTGCTCACTACCATCACATATCAGGGACAATTTTAACTCTTGTATGTTTCACATCTTCACCTGCTCACTACCATCACATATCAGGGACAATTTAACTCTTGTATGTTTCACATCATCACCTGCTCACTACCATCACATATCAGGGACAGTTTAACTCTTGTATGTTTCACATCATCACCTGCTCACTACCATCACATATCAGGGACAGTTTAACTCTTGTATGTTTCACATCATCACCTGCTCACTACCATCACATATCAGGGACAGTTTAACTCTTGTATGTTTCACATCATCACCTGCTCACTACCATCACATATCAGGGACAGTTTAACTCTTGTATGTATGTTTCACATCACATATCACCTGCTCACATACCATCACATATCAGGGACAGTTTAACTCTTGTATGTTCACATCATCACCTGCTCACCATCACATATCAGGGACATAACTCTTGTATGTTTCACATCATCACCTGCTCAGTACCATCACATATCAGGGACAGTTTAACTCTTGTATGTTTGTTTCATCACCTGCTCACTACCATCACATATCAGGGACAGTTTAACTCTTGTATGTTTTCACATCATCACCTGCTCACTAACTCACATATCAGGGACAGTTTAACTCTTGTAAATCACCTGCTCACTACTCATCACATAGGTCACATCATCACCTGCTCACTACCATCACATATCAGGGAAAATTATTAAGGCTGTCTCAGCTAGTTAATGGCCGACTGTATATTCCATTAACCTTTTCAACCCCTACAAATATATTTAAAAAATTACTTTTTCAAAATTTTATTGAAAAGAAACAGTTACAATTCTCTGAAACTCTACAAGAAACTAGAGGAAAAGAAGAAGGAACAGAAGGAAATTAGAGTGTAGGTCAGTTTCTATAAAAATCCAGTGGTTTGAAACCAATGACCACCAAGCAGACAAGCAAACATTCGGGCTATTGCATCATCTCAGCCCCCAGTATCACTAAAAAAAAACATGGGTTTTTCATATTTAGAGTAGTATTTTGCAATAAAATATCTTTTACAGATGAAACAGTATTGATAGCTGAAAATGCTAATGATCTACACCAATTACTGGATGTTGTAGTAAGGTAGAAATTAGAAAGAACTTGGACCGAGATGTGTTCTTGAGACGGATGTTAAGAATCCACTGGACTGCCAGAGTAACTAATGAGGATTGCTTGAAAGAAGATAATGAAAAATATCAATATATACACTTATAAGGAAAAGATAAGCACTATTCTTTGGTCATGTGATGAGGGTGGATGCTTTGGAGAATACTGCAGTGACTAGGAAGATCAACGGTAGAAGAGGGAGACTCAGACCTAGAGAGATTAAGATTGCGACGGTGGCATGGAGGGATATCAATCTGATGGAGATGATCCACATGTATGCAAGGGTCAGCAGGGCATCTGTGGATGATGCATGAACCCCCCCCCCCCCCCCAGGGCCCCCCCCCTGTGATGATGATGATTTTGCAATGATCCCCCCCCCCCCCATAATATCTAAAAAAACATTGGGGGAAGAGGGGGTAAATATAATCATACTCACCAGATCTACACACCGTGCAATTGCAATCAACACCTAAACTGTTATATCAACGCATTGACCACGGCCTAAAGACAGGCTTTCTCTGGACGACAGGTTTTAAACCATTGCAGAAGACTTGAATCTTTATATTCTTATAGAGTAGACAGCTGAGCATTTTCAAGCTTCTCCTTCTAAATTCTTCTTTTTTACCTGTTCAAGCTCTGGAAGAAATTCCTGGTTGTTCATCCATTTGGACTCTAGCTTTGTGCCAGGGCCTGAGTTTTACGTGTACATCCATTTACTGGCTTGTATGCTGGTTCTTCCTTGCCACTAGGGCAGATGCACTCCGATTTCAGAGGAAGTTCCCAATTAGTAAACTCCAACAAGCTTGTTAGGGAGGCAGAGGGTCTGTTCTTGTTTTCTCAACAATAGAACCCACATTGATTTGAAACAGTTTAGGGACATTCAGAAACCTACCTCATGTTGAGCTGACTCTGCTCGAGAGCGAGGCCGAAGACCAGCAGGAACATTTCCTGCACCAGGTGAGACTCCACAAGCACTGCTGATCCCCACAGATGTTTCTGAGTCCCACCGCTCCAGTTCTTCTCTGACAAGGTGTTCCATTTGTTCTCTCTTCAATTCATCGCTTGTTCCATCTGACTGTGGAAATATATGATGGATAGTAGATGATACACAAATGATATTTCTTCTTATTCTTTACCAAACTTAATGTAATCATCAGTGTAGAAAACATAATAGAGCATATGTCTTCAATATGTGGTATTACGTGTTTCTTCTTTGAACAAAAAAGAGAAACTAAAGATGGCCTCCATACACTAAAAAAAATTGTGAGGCTGGCTGAGGTTAACAGAATTCTGTTTACGCCAATCAATCTCATACCTTTGTGATATATGGAAGCCATGATAATTAACTGGGTCAGTCCAGAATTATACAGGCAGAAAGAAATTGTCATTCACATACATTTGCCCACATAGTGAAAGTGTCAGTTTCTTTTGAATGTAAAAGATTTTGTGTTTCAGTTAGAAGTATTAATTTATTTGCTTCATTTTAATCAACCGCTGCTGCTGTATGCACCTGCTGAGATACATCAAAATATGCCAGACAATAAATTGTGCAAGCTTTTGTTTGTTTTGTCTCTGTTAAAATTTCAAATATGGAAACACTGCTTTGTTTTTCTTCTTTATAAACTGTATGTCATTCCAGTTACAGCCCTTGTAAAGAAAGCTAGTGCCTGATCTGCTACCTGACAGAGAGTGTATAATTTTTCTACTTTATAAAAATACATTTCTGATGTTTATTTAAACAGCTATGCAAAAGTCAGAGGCAAACATCAAACACCAAAGTCTCTAGCAAACTTGGATTGGATTAAAAACTTGGATTCCCCATATAAATGTTGCATTAATTAACATTACTACAGCTGGACATCTTTCAAAAAGTCAGACCAAACAAATTTCCAGGATTAGTTTGAAATAAAAAAAAAATACTGTGGTCAGAATATTTAGAGCATGCATACTGATTTACCCATATCTGAATCCTGCCAGATGACAGGGATTTTCTGCATTGTGCTGAGATTTCTCTTGTGTAATTAATAATAGGAAACCTAATCACTTACTGGGATATCTGTGTTCAGTTAAACTGTTTAGAACAAACCTAAATTGTTTACTGGCTTTGGATATGTAAGATTGTGTGAATTCAGACATTTTGTTTGATAACATGCACTTAAACACAGAGAAGTCATAACCTCTCTTTGCAAGTCATTTTAAACTACTACACCAATTTCACTCTAGTATAATCTCCTGCAGACGGCAGTTCTAGTACATTTTAAACATGTGAGCAAACTGCAAATTTTACCCTCACAAAGAGACATAACAAAACATTTGATCTCTGCATGACAGAAAGATAGCAGCAGTATAGATACAAAAATATTATTAGCTACCTCTGAAATACTGTCTAAGATCTTGCCCATTGTCTCCCGACGTTTTATTTTTGCTTTCTCCATGGCTTCTAGCTTGACCAGAACAGCATCAATTTTAGAAACTATGCTTCCGATAGAGTGTTCCATTCTGTCGACTCTTCTTGATAAGACAGTAAATTCTTCATATGAAACACCACTTGAGATTGGGCCGGTGTGTAAAGACTTTGTACCGCTATCCCCATCATCGCTGTCATCAGCACTGTCTCCATCATTAAAGCTGATCCGGCTGCTTGAACGCTGTCCAGTGCCAGGGCGAGGATTTTTAACATCCAAGTCATCATAAACTTTTGTCAGAGCAGTCTGGTAAAAAAAAAAAAACACACACACAGATTTGAGTACAGAGTTAAAGAATGAAATATTAAATTACATTAATTAATAATATAAAATTATATTAATCATTCTTAAATTTTGTAACAACATTCTTATATTCTATTTTGCATTGTACTGGATTCCTTTTACCCCATGTGCGGTAGTAGTGGAATCCTTGTATCATTATTTTTTTTTTTACTTGTACCTAATTAGTCACTCCTCTTCTACCTCAGGATATAGAGGTTTGCCAGAGAGATCACCAGACTTTTCTATCAGAAGGTTTCTTTTTGGCTTTGTTCCATTCAAGCCCTCTGTCAGTCATGGACTGTCGGATGTTGTCATCCCAGCAGACCCTGGGTCACCCTGGAGGTCTAGTTTCCTGGTTCTTAGCCTCCCATGCTTGCCATGGTGGCTGATTTTCTCCCATTCTGCATACATGTCCAAACCATAGTGACTGTGACTGATCTGGGTTTCAAGATCTTGACGTATCGTCTGATTGTGGACTTTGTCCCTTCTTGTCACTTGGAACACCTATCTTATATATCTTATTCATGAGACCTAAAGCTTGTCTTCTGTGAGCTGTTGTCATTGCCCATGACTGACACCTGTAGGTGTCAGGACTGGTACATTGGTACAGCGTTAGACAGCCATTTATGTCCTCTTGCAAATTTCTCTTTTGCTAAGAATACCCAGGTTATAGGGCCTGGAAGAGTCTGTTTTTCGTGTAGCCGGCTCGGTCTTGATGCCTCTGTTTAGGTCTATTACAACTCCTAGTTATTTGAGCTGGTTCACCTGCTCCAGTACATACTGTCCCATCATGATCTTGTGTTACTTCTTCTCACTTGAGATCACTATGGTTTTAGTTTTGGAGATACTGATGGCCATCCCTCATTTCTCAAGCTCTTCCTTCCAGACAAGTAAGTTGCATTGAAAGTGTGTCTCTGATTTAGCTATCAGGGCCACATCATCTGCAAAGGCCAGCTCTGATATACAGATACTTCCAGTACCCTACTGAGTATTTGTTTTTCTCCTTAAAGGTCTTGATGATATCATCCATTATAAGAGTAAACTTGTGTCTAATACGAGATAATAGAGTCTATGCATCCCACATAGGGTGGTAACATCCTTTTTCTTATAGAAACTGTCAATGAATTCATCAATAATGCTACAGACTATAGAATCTACTAGTAAATACACCAATAATATTACAAACTAATAAATCTACTAATAAATCCACCAATAATCTTAAAACTAATGAATCACTAATGAATCAACCAAGAGTGTTACAAACTGTAGAATCTAAAAAAAAAAAAAAAATCCACTAACAATGTTACAAAATATATTATCAAGAAATCCATTGACAATGTTACAAAATAAAAAGTCTACCAATGACTACAACGATTTTGTTACAGACTATAGAATCTAAAAATAATATTACAAACCATAAAATCTATCAATAAATCCACCAATAGTCTTACAAACTATAGAATCTACTAATGAATATACAGATAATGTCACATACTATAGATTCTGCCAGTAATGTTACAGACTACAGAATCTATCAATAAATCCACCAATAATTTCCTTACTACAGAACCTACCGATGAATACACCAATAATATTTCAAATTATAGATTCTACCATTAATGTTACAGACTACAGAATCTACCAATAGATCCACCACTAATATTAGAAACTACAGAATCTACTAAAACAATATTTATAAACTATATCTTACCAAATCAGCCTGCATGCGTTTCTGCTCAGCTTCACCCAGAACTCGGTCACCATCAAGGTCATACTTGGCAAACATGGCTTCAATTTCCCCATCAGCATATCCACGTCTGCCAACACAACATGTCACAGAAACATCTACTGTATAGTTTTGTTACAGCCAAAACCATGGTCAATATGAGAGATCCTTTTTATAATAAATGAGCATAAGCCAGTGACAGGATTCAGCTGTGTTTTGAGAACTGACATCACAGAACTCGGGATATGCATATATGCACTCTGTCCCTGTCTTCAGCAGCCAGCGAAGAGTTCTAATTCCGACGGTACCAGTAACAGTCTGTGTGACTTGCCGTTCCTCTTAGTGTGAGGTGTGAGACCAGATCCCTAGTCACTTCCCACTACACAATTATTTTCAAACCATGATAAGCTAAGTGTGCCTCTACACTGTTCGCTCCCTCCCAAAGAGCCTTGACAACATGTAGCTTGTCATGCACAAATTTTCCATCAAGTGGTGCAGAGCCAGCAAGTCTGCCCACCTGTTCATTTCCTAACACACCTGCATACCTTAGAGAAAACATCTAAAGGATGCTAAGTACCCTGAACTTCTGAAGTGATGCATGCCACTCTGCACGAAGCATACATGTCTTCACCTTTCTAAGCTTGCTTTTCAAACAGTTAAACTCACAGCATGTGTGTGCAGCTGATTCTCAAGCAATGGAAGGCTTCCGTGACAACCTCTACCAAGATGAAACAGATCACTATTGCATTAAATTATTTCTCAGTAAATCTGTGCAGTCACAAAGAAAGAAACTGAAGCATAGCTTTCCAAAAAGGAAAAAGTGTTAAAAGGCATACGGACTGACTTCACTGTGCTGGGCATTATCCCATATGGTTAGTCTCTCCACACCGATTGGCTGTTCACCAACTGAAAGTGTTGCACAAAGCATGAACTCCATATTTTCAACAGTAACTGCCCCCCTCCCCCCTTTTTCCACCACCTGACCTTCTCATAAATCTCCCAAAAACCAAAACTTATATCCTGAAAACATGAAAAGATATAAATTTTATACACGAAAAGATACAAGTTTTATAGCATAAAAAGAAGTAAAATTGATAGCACGAAAAGCAACATATTTACTCACATGAAAAGATATAAATTTGAGTGCATAAAAAGAAATACATTGGATAGCATGAAAAGATAGAAAGCCAAATAAGAATTATACTAGTTTTCTTCATTATATCACAATCATGAACGACAAAATAAAAATGTTGGAGCAAGAAAGCTTTTATCAGCATTTGGCACATACAGACATTGATGCAATTAAAAACAAGAATGTACAAAATCATAATGAGTCCACACACACACACAAACCAGTAATATAACCCTGAGAGTGAGAGCACATGATTTGATCATTTCCTCATGAAGACATCTCACCTGATACAGCCTTGATTATCACAACTTCTGCTACAGCTAAAAACAATAACACGGCTCACGACACTCAGAGGAAAGGCAAGATGGACATATAACCAGATTACAGTATGTACCATTAGTATTGGAACTCTGCAGTGGCTGCTGAAGATGAGGACAGAGCATGCATGGGAGTGCCCTAAGTGCTGTCATGTCAATTCTGGACTCAACAATAACAGTAGCAGCAGCAGTGGAAATGGCTGATTGATTTAAAATAAATTTGAAAGTCGGATTCCATATCCCCAATGAAGTTTGGCTGCACTGGATCTCCAGCTGCAGTCTTATCTTTTTCTCTGGATGTACACTTGTTGAAACTGCTGCTATTTTATCTTGGTGTTATCCCTCCACTTGTATTGCTCCCTCTTGTCCGCTGGACTTCAGCATTTGCTTGCAGTATTTTTTTTTAAAGAGTGATATGCCTTAATTTAGCCAAAATGTTTTACTTGCTCTGCTCTTTTTGAAACATTTTAACATATTTCGCTGTCTTTAGCATGCTAAACGTTCTTTTTGTTTCTGTGACTGCATTTTTTTTAGAAGCTTATACAGGTTTAATCAATATTAAAGAAAAACAAAACTCACGATTTGAGTTCCTGGCGCCACTCCTCAAAGTCGAGCTTTTTGTCCTGGTTGATGTCTGCAGAGTGTAGAGCTTTCTGCAAGTCCACAATCTTTTCCCGCTTGATATTCAGCTTGCTAAGCAGATTCAAGTATCCCTGCAGTATTGAAAACATACACTTGTTTTTATTGTGAAAAGATACAAAACAAAATGAAAAGGAGTAACAAACACAAACAAAAAGCAAACACTGCAGCTACAAAGCCTTCATCAGCACATACATCTTCTTCTTCTGTTCCACCTTGTACCTCATTGAAGTGTCGGAGGGAGATGTAATATTCGTTAATGAGCTCTGTCAAGAGCACTATTAGGACTGATGTTCATTTCTGTAAGGCTGTTCTTAATGCTATCACTCCATATTTTCCAAGGTCCTCCACTCTCTCTATACATGTTGTAACATTTTAGTCAAAACCATATGTACAGATACGAGTGTGCAAAATTACTTAACTGATGTAATCTGAGCAGCAGCCACTTTGTTGAACAGCTTCAGAATGGTTTTTATTGCCGTCATATCAAATTCAAATTTTGAACGGTTCTTCTTCTTCGTTCATTCATCCGTCAGAAAACATGAGAAGTCCAGTATCCTTGATGAAAGCTATTGTGCAGTCCAAATCTCCCTGTATATCATGCAGTGTTGTGTTTACTGGCATGGGAACAGACCAGATGGCGTCTCTGTCCGCAGCATACAGTTTGTAGTGTTAAGATACAAGCTCAGCATTTTCTGGTGCCAAGGTTTTAGGGACACATTAGATTTCCCATTCTCTTCTAAATCTGCATGTAAAAATTAGGCCATGAGAGTAATTTCAGCTGTAAATGGGATACACCAGTCTTGTATGGTATATATTTGACCTGCCATCCATACATGAAAGTCAAAGGGTAAATATGTCATTGCTCTAGGAATTTTTTTAATGTGAAAACCAAACTACAACAGAATATTTTTAGTTAATGTTTTAAAGAAAGAATGTGGAATCCCCAGATGTGAATGTGAAAGATAATGATTTCAAAATTTGTTCTCACGCAGTTTAAAGGCCCCTTTTTTTTAAAAATGGTTTCGTCCTAACAAGTATGTCATAAAAGGCAATCAATTGTTTATTGAAAACAAATGTGTTGCACTGATAGGCCTACAACACAATGTGCCAGCCACCATTTCAGAGTGAATGCAAACAAATTTGTCAATCAAATTATATCAGTAAAGTAAAAGACCTTTTTCATGACAGTGGCACATTGGGCATATTATCTTAGACTCATATTTTCACAGACCAATCAGCTCTCTATATGGGTAATGTGGTCAGCATCATGCCAGCCACCTTTACTTCCCCTAACTTTACCTGATATCCATTTTTGTTGGGTTGACCCAGGAGCCAAGGTCAAAAAGGTTTTTAAAATGTTATCTATTAAAACAAAAACAAAAAACACTCAAAACACAATTAGAGCTACACACATCAAACATATCATGACCTTTACCTTCTTGAAATAATCAGCAATTTCAAAATCATTCTTGGCATTGGCCATGTCTGACTTGACTTCAGAGTAGGTGTCGTTGATGATGGCCAGGAACATGTTGATGAGCACAAAGAAGACAAAGAACACAAACAGCATGAAGAAGATTGGCCCCAAGATACGGTTGGCTTGTTCCAGCTGGTTGAAATCAAAGTCTCCCAAGATGATTCTGAAGAGAGTGAAGCTGTGAGAAAAATGTAATAGATCTTATTCACTGACAGATTTTGTGATTTCAAATATAAGATATGAAATGAGCTACTAACTTAAACATAGTATCACCGTAGATAGAATACTACCATGACAAATTCAGTTTTCAGGGTTTAGTCTTCACTTTCCCCCCAAAGTTAAGCATTATATTATTCTGTACCAATGAATTCACTATAGCTGATTAGACATCTTTAATATTTTGGTCACATTAAAAGACATAGTCATCATGCAGCAGATCTTTTGCAGAACATCACTCTCATCATGGTCTGCCTGAAAGAAACGCAGTCTCTTGCCAGCTCTCCCCCTCGTGCACTTTTATATTCTAGGAGTCATTTATCTCCTGTGCCTATCTTCATGTTGGTCGGCCCCTGCCCCTCCTCCCTGGTACCATGCCTTCTTTCCGTTATTTTTTCCACTCCGCCATGGGGCTTGATATGACCAAGATACTTCAGCTTCCGAGACAAGATGCTGTTTATTAGCCAATCTTCCTTGATGTGAGATCTTTATAAAAAAAAAAAATAGGAAAGACATAATAGGCTTTTAAAAAACCACACTGGAGGGAAAGGTAGAGGGCAAAATTATAAGTGGTAGGACAACAGCAAGAGATGAAAGAATGGCCAAACAAAACACAATAGACAGAGCTTGTTGGAGAAACATCATGGAGACGGCGCCTGTTTGATTGACTTATTAGTCCTCTTTTAAAGACAAAAACTTCATTTGTTTTTACTACTTAAATAGAAAACAGTTACTTATCATACTTGTCTTAACTGAAGTTGTTTTATGTTCTCAAAATTTTAATGCTTTAAATTCTAAAAATTGTTAATTCAACCAGGAAATAAAATGCTGAGTTGTTTGTGGTCCTCTCAGTTTTGTAGATATGGCATGCACTCCCTGAAAAAAAAAAAAAGAACTGTTAACAACAGGCTTTCACTGCTGATAGACAATAGACAAGAAGTGACCCAGAAATGAGAGCGTGCAGTTAAAAGCCTTTCTGTTCGAGGGAATATGAGTATTATGACGAGGAGTGGACTTCCTTTAAAGAATTGTCCTTTAATGTAGTTTTGCATAGTTTTTTATTATCTGTGGTGTATGCCAATGCTAACAGTCTAGGGGGGTCTCCAAAAGTGGTCAAACCATTTACCTCTCGTTTTGCTCTGAAGGTCATGGGTTTGCTCTTCGGCTGGGTCACTCAGTTCAAGAGCACAATTTTTACGAAGATCCATAGGGGTCCTCACTGGAGCTATAAAGTTTGTGCTTTGTGTGATGCTCTCAGCAGGCAATTAGCCCTTATGCAAAGAGAGACCGAGCCATATGGGATAAAACCTGGTACAATGAAGTCGTCTTCTCAACTTGAGCTTTAAACAACAATGATTTTTCTGTCATTCATTATTTGTTCCTTTAAGAAGGTAACTAGTTATAACTGTCATTCCCCGTTTGGGATCCGGACCCCTTATAGAAAAAACAGTCTGCATACAAATGCAGTCGTAAGATCGACTATGGATGCCTTCAAATCGGAGTGCATCTGCATGAGGTTCTGGAACCAGGACTGCAGTACAGATGAGTGGATCTGTAACAATGCACATGCAATACTTTCCACTGGAGGACTGCAGTTGAAGTGGATGAACAACATAAACCAGAGTTTAGCTGGTAAATAAGAAGATAATAAAATTGTATTTTAATAATTATGCAGTTCTCTTTTAATTTCTAGTAGAGCTTTCAAAACAAACAGAAAGAACATGACTGCAGTTCGCTTCTTTCTCGATATTTGCTGCATACTTACAAAGCATTCTGAAAGCTGCTGAAGTCCTTCACCTGGGTACCAAACAGCAGGTAGCCTAGCTGGGTGAATGCCAGGAAAATGATGATGAACATCACAAAAAAGCCAGCCAAGTCCTTGGCACAACGCTCTAGAGTAGAGGACAGCTGGGTCATTGTCTTGTTGAAGCTGATGTATTTGAAGATCTAAATTCAGAAAGTTTTCTATTAATTCTTTGAGTTCTAAGGAATGCATCACACGTTCATAGGTTCCTACCTAGAAGCCCAATGAACGCATGATGCGCCGATTTTATTACTTTATTTACTACCCCCTGGGCCTTTGATGCTAAACCACCCTGGGACTCAAAGAGTTAAAAATAAACATCATATATATACTTTCACAACTTTGTAATGTTTAAGATACTGTTTAAGATAATCTTTTAACTGTTTAAAAAAAGGTGGTTGTTTGGGTTAACAACCTAAATGCAGCTTCGAATATGGATACAAAATGGGCATTGCAAGATCAGAAATTCAGCATCTGATTCATGACAATTCATGCCAAAGTGATGTGATCATCTATACAGATGTCTCTGTGCTGAGAGGCAGAAGTGCACAGAGGTTCTTAGCAAAGTGTGTGGATGACCCTTAATGCAACAAAACCTAGCATACAAAACCACAACATGCAGTTTCAAAATGGAGGTGGAGGCAGTCTTGTATGGGCTTGAGAACCAGCTCTATGCATATTATTCCCGTGCTCTCAGGTATGTTGGGAAACAGACCGGCCAGTTCTGCATTACTTGATGGTAAATTAATGCATAACATGCTAGATCAGTGACTGTCAACCTATGGGTCATGACTCTTTTGAGAATGGGGGGGGGGGGGGTGTCAAACCAGCCTTTCACAGGGGTCACCTAAGACCATCGGAAAACACAATGACTGAAGTTATGAAGTCACAACAAAAATAATTTATGGCTGTGGGTCACCACAAAATGAGGAACTGCATTAAAGAGTCGCTGCATTATGAAGGTTTGAGAACCACTGTGCTCGATATTATCAAGTGTACTTCATTCACTTCCCTTTGTTTTAAGCTTGTCTACTGAGGGCGATGAATCAGTGTAACACCACAGGACTCACAATGTCCCCAGAGACTAACAAGACAGGATGAACACTGCTGGCATTCTTCCATGACAACAATCCATTGTTCCCATCTGTTTCAAGTCTCTAACAATGTCTAGGAATGTTCACAAGCAATTTCTACCACCCACTCTAGCTAAACATGAATCTTCTTTACTTACTTAAACAAACTACTCTGAAGAAATACACCAGGTTACTGCTGAAGTAAAATCAAGCTTGTCCTTGACCCACAATTGCTGCACTCCTAGAACACACTGAACAAGCTGCTTCATTCACACTGGTATGATCTGGACAGACATGCTGACAGACCCAGCCGAAGTCTTTATTCACAACTGAATGCCCTCTAGTCTCTTTCTTGAATTTTATTTATCCCAACCACACACATATCATGTATTTAGCTTAATACTGTTCAGTTTTCTGTTTCCAAATTTTCTTCCAGACCTTTTCCTGTTCACCCAAAGATCTACCACATACTCTCATCATATCACATCCTAATTATGCCCGGGTTTCCTTTCTGGACTAAAAGTTATCCAAACCCAACTTACAGCTTCATTATATTTGCTTATCTGGGTTTCCCTCTGAAATTGATGAATACTACTTAGCAACATTACATCAAAACCCTCTGGGAATGAATGAACAATGTAGAGGCACAAACAGATCATTACAGTCTGAAGAAAATAGAGCAAACACTTGAGGAAAAGCAAGACGAACATAAAATCAGACTGCTACTGGTGCCATTAGAAGTCTGTGCTGACTGCTCAAGATGTGGATGGCGTGCTGGTAGGAATGTCCCAGGTGCTATGATGTCAGTTTTGACAGAACTCAACACCCAGGTGCTATGATGTCAGTTTTGACAGAACTCAAACACCAAGGTGCTATGATGTCAGCTTTGACAGAACTCAACACCCAGGTGCTATGATGTCAGTTTCAACAGAACTTAACACCCAGGTGCTATGATGTCAGTTTCAACAGAACTTAACACCCAGGTGCTATGATGTCAGTTTCAACAGAACTTAACACCCAGGTGCTATGATGTCAGTTTCAACAGAACTTAATACCCAGGTGCTATGATGTCAGTTTCAACAGAACTTAACACCCAGGTGCTATGATGTCAGTTCTGACAGAACTCAACACCCAGGTGCTATGATGTCAGTTTTGACAGAACTCAACACCCAGGTGCTATGATGTCAGTTTTGACAGAACTCAATACCAAGGTGCTATGTCAGTTTTAACAGAACTCAACACCCAGGTGCTATGATGTCAGTTTTGACAGAACTCAACACCCAGGTGATATGAGGTCAGTTTTGACAGAACTCAACACCCAGGTGCTATGATGTCAGTTTTAACAGAACTCAACACGTGGAGAAATTTAAAACTTCCATTCATTGTGCACTAAACATATCTGTCAACAGCTTTCTGTTCAATATTTACTATAATATATTCTTCTATGCCATAATGCTAAACTGTCTAACATTTGCTCTCCTGGTGTTTCCCTGACTATCTTCTCCTCTAACTGTCCCATTGTCATGACATACTCCAGTTTCACCTTTCTCATGACATACTCCAGTTTCACCTTTCTCACGACATACTCCAATTTCACCTTTCTCACGACATACTGAAAGAACATCTCCTGATGCAGTAATCAGTTTTCTTTATGAGCTTTAGAAATGACTTGACTTTTTCAGAAGCAATGCTAAATAGCTTTAAATGATACCAAATTTTATGAAAACATCTTAGCGAAGCAAAAATGATGCCAAACTTAATTTCAATGACAATAATTACCTTGATCCACGCAATGAAAACTGCTATTGCAACTGCATTGCTGAACCTGGTCTCCCAGTAGCTGAGCTTCTCAAAGTCAGCAAAAATGTTAGGATTTGCCAGAAGTCCAGTAAGTTTGTTGCTCACCTACACACACAAATGAGTATTATAAATGTTCATTCAGTGTTAAAGGTTGATGATAAATAGTTAAAGTTGTTATACAGTGTTGTTAGTTTTATGGTACATATTTTGAGCTGTCATATAGTGTTGCAGTTTTATGGTAAATATTTTGAGCTGTCATATAGTGTTATAGGTTTAACATTAATATCTGAGTTGTCTTACAGTGTTAGAGGTTTAAAGATAAATATTTTAAGTTGTCATAAGTATTACATATTTAAAATAAATATTTCAAGTTGTCATAAAGCGTTACAGGTTTTTAATACATATTTTTGAGTTACTATATAGTGTTACAGTTTTATGACAAATATTTTGAGTTCATATATATATAATGTTACAGTCTGCAGCCCGTTTTTTTTTTTTCAAGCCCAGTCTTCCTTCTATAGCAACTGTTTCCTGGACATGCAAATGCTTCTCTTCAGTTCACTTTTGGAATACATCGTGATGGTGGGAAAGCTGGAGGGGAAGAGGCAGAGATAGAAGATGCTAGACAGTTTGACATCATGGCATGGAAGAACATCAGTGTCAGAACTGACTGAAAGTACAAGAGAGTAGGTGGGGATAGACATGGCTACCAATGCCACATTGCATGGACTACAAGAAGTTTGTTCTAGCAGAATCAAAGTCAAAGTCTCATTGACTTTGTGTTTGACTGCTGTCCACTGTCAGGCAGCTCAACATTTACAACAAACGGAGAAATATTATCAGACAGTCTGTGCTCCTTATTGTTATTTTTCTAGCTCTTCCTTATTTTCTACTGTCTTCCTAATCCAGCATCTACATCAATATTTCCTAGGAAACTCAGTTAAGTATCTACCTCTCTGTAACTTGTAAAAATTTTTCCATATTGTTGTTTTAGTGGTGGACATCTAATCACCCATGTGGTACAGCCTTCTGACTGGATAAGAGGCAACAAACTATGTAAGCCCTGCCCAATAAATAGAAAACATTTACAGTCTTATCAGAAAAAAATGAGAACAATATACATGAGTCAATGCTTACCTCAACAGTCCTATAAATATTAAAACCCATACACACAAGGGATATGAGGACCACTGTGAGGTCCAGAATGTTCCAGAAACTTTTGAAGTATGCCAATTTTAGTGCCTTGATCTGTGGAACAAAAGGAAACACTTTAACCATATGTTTCTAATAAGGAATGGAGATATTTTAAGTCACAGTTTCCAGAGGGGACATTTACTTTTGTTACCAATTGTAATATTCCTTGGCTGTTTATCTTTGAATATTCGGCAAGAATGGCGGGGAAAGGAACCTAGACTAGTTTAGACACTGTGCTTTCAGTAAATACATTCTACCCATGGTTTATTCATTAACAGTCATACACATAAAAAAATATTTTGGGTGTTTGGTGGTTACATGTGGTGGTGGTCATATTTGTGCATGTTAATTTTTTTTTTTTGGGGGTGTGCTTATTCTTTTTCTGTGTTCAAAAAGGCAATTGGCTTGTGATGGTTTACAGCTAGGTTGCCAGATCTGAAACCTTTCAGCTCAACAGATCAGATTTCACAATCTTCTTAAAAACTTGCCCTTTTCAACGAGCATATTAAGGAAGGAGCAGTGGGTAACTTCTCTTCCCTCCCTACATGGGGGGGGGGGGGGGGGGGGGGATTTAGAAGTGATCTAAGACTTGATCTTTTGGGATAACTCATGGTTACCAAGCAACATCAGTATAGCAGGGTGCTTTATTTATATCTTACCCCAAACAGGGAAAATCAACAGGTCACGGGACAGTCTAATATTTCGGGGGGGGGGGGGGGGGGTGATAGACAGGCTGCATGCAGTCGTGGGACCTAGGCTGCATTCTCTCATGGGATGTAGGTGGGTTGGGGTTAGGGCCAGTTCTAGATGTATTAGGGTCGTTAAAAGCATGAGAAAGCCGGGAAACCCGGTCTTACCACACCCTCTATTTTGTTGGACTGTCCTGTGATGTCATCTGGGGTAAGCTAAAAATAAAGCATGGTATGGCAGATGAAGTTGATGATGAGATGGAGTGAACCCAAGCTTGCCTCCAGTATCTCCTCCACTGTGTAATACAAGATGAAGATACAGAAGATGATTTCACAGGCCATGATAAAGTAGTCCCCAATGGTAACGTAGCGAATCAGCTTCACTGTACGAAAAGTCCAGGATGGAATGGCACCACCTGTTGCAGGAAATTCAACCAGTAATCTGGAAAATATACATCAATGTGTTAACTGCTAACAGTTTCACAGAAGTAATTTCTTTACAAATACTAGTTAATTAATACAAAATGGTAAAATGCTAAGCTAACATTATTATACCATCAGTGCCAGAACTTGATGATGAGATTAGAAAGGAAAAGAAGGAAAATGATAACCATAAAAACTGAAGGTTGGGGAAATGATTGTTTGAATGAATAATGGTTGGCTGATGAGGAATTCTGTGGAAGACTTGAGTTGTTACTATTCTAATACATTGACATGATGGTCATATGAGCTCTAGAAAAGTCTTGAGCCTAAAGGGCTTGCATCTTCTGAACCAGTCAAACAATCATCTCTGACTGCTGTTCAACCATCTATAAATATTGTCCTCCCACCTGTATCATCGTCTACCCTTTGCTCTCTTTTTTTAGACTTGTCCCATTCAGTATTATTTTATGCAGTATTATGACTTTAATGTGGCTGAAATATTTCAGTGGTCTCAAATTTCTTCCAGAAACTCAATTCCCGGGCTCTTGAGAACCTCTGAGCCAGTAATTATAGGGCTTTTTCTATTGGTAATGTGTTAAAAAGCTTCAATGTCTTGTATCCACTTTTGCAGAGGTCTGCCTCTGTGTATTTTCAAGAAAGTGTACTTTCCATTATGATTCTCTCCAGGCTATTACGATGTTAAGATGGACAAAATACTGCGGCTGTCAGGACTGGATGCTGTTTATGAGCCAATTTTTCTGATGCTCAGATCATGTAGGATATGTTTTTCTTATTTTTCTTTGTTGGTAAAAAAATAGCTATCCATAAATTAAATGTATTGTTGAAGCCATTCTCATACTAACCTTACAACACAGAAAAGGTTTATATTTGCATTGTATACAGTGAAGTCTATAAAGACTGCCCGGGTCCCTCGCTGGATCCAAAGATTAGTCAGGAGGTTCTGTATAATCCCTTCTGAAGCACTTCTAGTGGTATTTAGGTCAACATAGTAGCCTCCACCACTGTAAGTGCTCAGCTGCCCCCAATGAGGTCCACCATTGAGTTCACTTTCTGAGAAGTAGCGCCATCTGTGGTTGAAAACATAATTTAGTTAACATTTATCATCTAAATGACACTGCAGGCTCAACTACCACATGCATAAAATAAAGATTGTACAATCTCCCATGTGTGCCTGTAAAACAGGACCGCAAACACCACAGCACACTCTGCAGACCTGCCCACTCTACCTGCAACTTCGAAAAGAGCAAAGTGTGCAGAGCAAGCTATAGGGAACCATGAAGGACCTGCAGCTGACATGAGAGTTCATAGAGGCAACCCACCTCATGGTCTGATCTAAGCATATGAAACCGACCGCAAAAAAAAAGAAGAAGATCTAAATGTCTTTTCCAATTTTTTCTACAATAATGAACACATCTGTTTAGCTTGTGTTTATTTTTAAAGTTGGCAGCTGTGGCTCTGCATTGCAAATGTGCTTTGCTATTCCAAAATACCTGTTCAATTCCAGCTGCAGGCAGTTTGACAGCAGACTGCTTAGTACTTATTTCAGCAATGGTATGGCACCCCAGAGTTCAGACAGCAGTGGCAAACTACTACAAGTAAAATTACCTCATAAAACCACAAATAGCCAACAAAATATTGTGGCTGGTTCTGAAATATCCTGTAAAAATACATGAAATTAATTTTTTTAAAAATAAATCTTCCAAATGTCCTTTACTACAGCGTTCTTACTGTTATGGATAAATCATTGTATTCTGTATGTATTTTTATATGTCCTCAAAATCTTGTCTAATTTAACCAATAATTGTGTTATGAATTAATCACGTTTTGAGTTATAAATTAAATTATACAACTTTATGTGATAATTATTCATTCCTGTTTAATGGATAAATTACTTGTTATCTCCTCATTTCATAAACCGTCTTATTCAATGGGTAAGATTTCTTTACTCTGATAAATTACATTCTCTGACATGAAAACTCTCACATCCTATTACAGATTAAATGACTTCTTTGGTAAAAGTCAGATGACCTTTAAATGTAATAATGTGAAAGACAGATGCAAATAGCAACAGAATAATATTTAAAATAAATGAAAGCTTACGCCGTATTATTTGGTTCTGCCTGGGACATATTAAATGGAGCCCTGTCTTCAAAGCTTTCAGAATATGAATCAAAGCATTCAGTGATGTAGCTAGCAAAGTCATCATGAATCTGAGCATGGAATACAAAAATAAAATGTGAACAATACATGAACAAAAATATATTTATTTTATGGTACTAAATTAAGATTTGGTATAAGATCACACAAACTGATACATGCTGCAGGAGATCGTGGATTATGGAGAGACATGATCGCCCACGCCAGTTGGCAAGGCACCTGATGATGATGTTAAGATCACAAAAAGAGTCATGGATACTATTGTCTGTCCATGAAAGCCTACTGTGTAATGAAGTGAAACAACACAAACTTCTGCAGTCCAGTAGTAAGACCACAAACAGGTTCAGAAAGTGAATTGAAAACATTATCAATGGGCACATCAGTCTGGGAGGGATCTTCTTCTTCTTCGTGTTTACCAGCTGTAAACTCCTACGGAAAGTGTGCATCCATTTTATAGATCTTATTCATTTGTATGCAAACTGCTGGTTCCTTGCCTCTCAGGCAGATGCACCCCGACTTTGAAGGAAGCTCCCAGTTAGTCCACTCTGACAACATGCTTTCGGGTAGGCAGTGTGTCTATTCTTGTTTATCTTATAATAAGGCCCTGGAACCCACACGGGGATGGGAGGGACTGAATACCGAAAGTAATAGAAATCAGTACTAAAGTGAATCTTATCAGAACTATTTTTTGGCCAACACTATGCTATCAATGCCAAACGTGGACACTTATATCCTTCAAAGAACATAAAATTGTGACAACTTAGATGAAATGCCTTAGAAGAGCTGCAGGAGTTTCAAGTAGAGACAGAAAACAAAATCATGAAATCAGACGAATGCTAGGAATAAAGTCAGTCTTACAGGTCATCAAAGAACAACAGATGAAGTGGTTTGGACACCTAACAAGAATGCTCTGGTACTATCTGCCACAGCGAGCCACACTAAAATGTTACAACGGGTATAGAGCGAGTGGAAGATGTCGAAAAATATGGAGTGATGGCATTAAGAACAGCCTTACAGAAATGAACATCAGTCTTAATAGTGCTCTTGAGAGAGCTCATCAACGAACATTACATCTCCCCCCGACACTTCACTGAGGTACAAGGTGGAAGAGAAGAAGAAGAAGAAGAAGAAGAAGAAGATATAAATCAGTTGTCTCTAACAGCAACAAGTTGAGGAAAGTTAATATGGTGCCATGGGATAAACAGATTATAAAATTTAACTCTTGCCTTCTATGCCTCAAACACTCAGACACAGCCTCTTACAATTTATGTCTGGTTAGCATTTACTAAAATAAATCTGGTTATACTAGAAGCAGCTTCTTTTCTCATAATATTCTTATAAAACATGCAATCATTTTTCTGGCTTCTGATGTTTTGTTTTTTAACAAGAAAATTAAGATTTGTGTGTGATATCATGAGAATTTTCTAACATAATTATATACAAAAAGGTTGTAAATACTATTCTTCAAAAACAGTTATAACAAGTCACCTAAAATTACACATTTAAAAAATCTTACATAAGTCAAACATGCATAGCTTATACCTGAAATAACTATTACTGTTTATGAAGATTACCTGGCAAGAATCGTTACGGACTTTGAGCTGACGAATCCGGGGCACTCCGAGCAGTCTATTTTCATAGTAAATGTATCCCATTTCATTTGGAGGTAGAGAATCATTGTTGTAATAGTTCTCCCAATAAAGTCCTGACAAGAGAGGTCCTTTAGCGTACTTCAAGAAATAGTAATCAAAAACATATTCAGACTGCATGCATCAAAAACAGATAGGTTAAACTGATTATATTGAAGACATTGACATTTTCAATAAACTGAAGTGGCTACAAATTGTCCCAAATTTACCAGACCACTTACAGTAGTCCCAGTAGTCAAAACTCTACATATCCAGAATAAGTAAAATATATAGTTGGAAAATGCAGCATAGTGAGATATTTAGTGTATTTTTACATACATATGAATTTTGTGTGCAGCAAGAGTAAACATAACCACATTTGTTAATTAGTAAAGACAGTGTTTTGAGATGTAGCAGTATAGTGACTTTCAACTGAACTACAAGTCCTGTGATTCGAATAATGGGAACACAACCGAACGTTTCAACCAAAGTCTTTATCAACAGAGTATTAAATAACAGTACAAACTGTGACTGGAAAACTCAACAGGCAAGACAACAGCCCTTGAGGTTCATTGCAGCAGACAACTCCATTATATCTGTGACTGACCGTCTCTTTTAAGTTGCTGACTCCAAATGTTTCAAAATGTGCCTGTAGATTATCTCTCCACTGATCTCTTCATCTGCCTCATGATCTACTCCAGATCAGCTCTTTTGTGTACAGCAGATTTTTTTCTCTGTTAGATGCCATTTTCTCTCTATGCCTCAACCAGTCTCACTCACTCTAAAGAGTGGCCACTCACCAGCGGTGAGTCTGAACAAAGCAAAACTCCAGCTATGACTTCATGGATTCTCTGAAACAAATTAATGCAGTTCAAATCTGAATCTCAAACCAGAATGACATTGCTTTGGTTTGTTCAATGTATTACCAAGTGTCTGAATACATCATCATCATGTATCTGAAATGAAACCAAGTGAACTTTCCCTTCTCTTTTCCTTCTCTCTCTCTCTCTCTCTCTCTCTCTCTCTCTCTCTCTCTCTCTCTCTCTCTCTCTCTCTCTCTCTCTCTCTCTCTCTCTCTCTCTCACACACACATGCACGCATGCATACATACATGCATGCACACAAAAATACATACACAATAAATAAATACATGCAAAAGAAAGAACTCAAATAAGATATACTGTATAACAGAAACATTGTAAGCTTAAGTCTTTACCAAACCAACAGCTTTCAAGTGACAACACTTCACTAAAAACCAAGTGCACTTTGACTTATGCCTGGCTACACACCCTAAAACTAACACTTTCATAAATTAGATCCACAATTCATCTAAACAGAGCAGAAGCCATACTTTGAAACACACAAAAAAAAAAACTTACTTTCCAAAAACCATCAACGCTGTTCACTTCCTTGAAATTTGGATCAGAGCCTTCCTTAGACTCCAGAAACAGATCACTCATCACCTTGGTGTAGTAGTACATAGTTGTTGAGGTCATTCCAAAGGTAACTGGAACAATTAAAATATCAATATAAATATTTTTTTTTTTAATATATAAAGCACCGGGCAATGGAGAATGAGAAGCAACAATGAAATTCATAATATGTTTAAATCACCACTGATCACTGGCATCATATGAGCTAATAGACTGAAATGGTTGGTGTATATTGAGAGAATGTCAGATGACAGAGAAGTGAAAACTATACACAAGGGAGATGAATGGTCATAGACCATGAGGCAGACCAAGAAGACGATGGAAAGATAAATGTCCAGACAGACATGAAAACACTTGGTGTCGCCAAATGGAAAGAGAAGGTCAACCAGAGAGATAAATGGAGGCGGATGATATCTGCAGCAATGAACCTCAAGGGATTCGGAGTGCTGAAGAAGATATATAAAAGCTTGGAGACAAACACAGAGGGCTGATCATTTCATTGAAAGAAGATACTCTGATGATGTCAGTAGACGATGCATTGCTGAAACAAAAAAATAAAAACAATATCTAAAGAGATTTTCCTAATATCAAAAGAGATTGAAAGTATGAAATCACATTGATATTTAGTGATATAAATCTGGAATGACATATTTTAATCTACTCCAATTGTTGAGTTGACAGTAGAGGCTATTTTGTTGGATATAATATTAGATGTGCTGTTATCACTTATTCTTCTTCTTCTTCTTTGAAATCACTGGCTGTAAACTCCAGTGGACAGTTTCAGTTGTAATTCCACTTGTAGACTTTGGTCTTGTTCTTGCACATCTGTTTTACAGATCTGGCTCATTTCTGTGCAGACTTGGTTCCTTGCCTCTGTGGTAGATCCACGCCGACTCTGAAGGAAACAGAACTAATTAGCTGCCTTTTATGACATTCTTGTTAGGGGTGAGGGAAGCATGTATACCACAGCATGTTGCAGACTTGATTCTAAACCAAATATATTAACTTTCTGAGTCCCAGGGGGTTTAGCATCACAGGCCCAAGGGGTAGTCAAGAAAGACGTAAAATCGGCGCATCTTGCGTTCACTGGGCTTCTAGGTAGGAATCTATGAACGTATGATGCGTTCCTTGGGACTCAAAGAGTTAAAATACACTGATCACTACCAAGCTTCACTGAACATTTGCTTTTTTCATTCACTGATAAAGACTGCTTAAAACCTTTACTTTGACTAAGCATCCTAATTATATCTTGTGTTTTTTATTTTGACAGATCTGAATCTGTCTTCAGAAATTTACGAGTTATGAAGAAACCCATGAATGTATGTTGAGTTGTTTGAAGATGGTGTTATTACAATGTAATGTTGATTTGGGATGTATGAATCATTGTCATCTATTCCTTACTGCTATCCGCTGTGTTGTGTGTATTGACTTTACTCTGTGTGGATAAAACTGTAAATCAGTGTACCAACCTTTAAAAAAAAAATATGATCATGTCGTACCATAAAACTCACTAAACCTCTGGCAACAGACATTTAATTTAAATTCATATACCACATGTAGTTATGTGGTACTTTGTTTTCATAATTAAAAAATAATAAACATGAGCCCAAATGAGTCAACAAATCTTCCCAGCAGATACAAGCTATTTTTTTTTGTTTAATTTGATTACCATTTTTTTTAAAAACCTCATGGTCAAAAACTACAATTAGGGCTACTTACTGACACACAGCACCACCAAATAGATTATGTAGATGATTAGCTCTCGAAGAGTGGTCTTCACATACATTTCCCGGTCACTTGCTGTCTCCTCTGTCTGACGAGTTGCCCATATTGCTGAAAATAATACAGTAAATTAAGTTTACATATTTGAGGATGCAACAACAACAAGAGAAACTTTACTTAGCTTGTTAAGAATACCATAAATTGTATTTCTCAAATGGAATGTAGTGCCTTTCAAGTCATTAAAGCCTTGACAAGGACTAGTAGCTGCTGAAGTGAATTTGTGTAGACATATTTTCTGACCCAGCACAAAGTTTCATCACCACGGGGATTGTGTTGCAGAGCTCTGCTCACTCTCTCCAAAATTATTTAACAATTTTTTTTTAAAATCAGCAGGGGTGTGGAAGAAAACCTAGCACTGGAACTTCACGTCTGCAGACAGACATACTGGGGTTCACTAAGTTCATAATTCACCACAGCTTAGAGGAACTATATGGCATTAGCCTCGGCTGGTAAAGTTTCTTCCACTGGTTTCACAAATGTAATTCTCAGCAGACTTCAGCAAAATCCCATGTAACATTTACAAGTGACATCATGGAACATCTACCAGTGGTTTAGGTTTAGGTTTATTCAACGGATCAACATCATGCCACAAGGGCATAAACCATAAGTGCTCCATTCCACTTCTAACTCAAACCTAAGTATGAAGAATCTCAGCGCAGTGCACAAACTCTGTTGCACCCGTAAGCATCCTGAAATACTCTGGTTAGATTTTAAACTCCAAATTTTGCCCAGGCAGCACCTTTATGCTACTCTTTTTCAATTTCCAACTTGCAAGGGATTTTTTAAGTGCACAACAATATACACTGGCGTCTGATCTTACTACCCAGAGATCAGGGAATATTACTAAAAGTCCACGTGAAATAAATACCAGCGAGGCAGATGCCATACCTCAATACCACTCAGTCTCCTATCTACAAGGGGTGTTTCTATGGAACATCTACAATTGATGTCTTTTTGAAACATCTATAAAGTTAATGGTCGACGTTTGGTGCAGGAGAGCCTGGCATATGATACCACAACATCCAGCTTAAGAATGGAGGTGGAGGCGATCACTGCAGCTTTCTGCTGGCTAGAGAACACGGCACACACACACACATTGTGATTGTAACTGATTCAGAAAGCATGCTGAGGAAAATCAGAACAGGTATGCTTCGTGCAGAGTGGCATGATTCACTGCGGAGGACATGAATGAGGAGTATTGTCTGGATTTTTTCACCGGGTCACACTGGTGTGTTGGGAAATGAACAGGCGGACAGACTGGCTGGCTCTGCACAACTTGGTGGAAAACTGATACATGATAGGGCAGACGTGGTTAGTGCCTTGTGGGAGAGCATGTACAATTCGGAGGAGCAGATGGATCACCAGTCTGGTGAGATTGATGTAGTTGGGGGTGACGAGAGGTTCTGGCAGAAGCTTGAGGCTCAGAGGAAAGGCAAGACGGACGTTTAATCAGAAAGCTACTGGCACCATTAGTATCTGAACTCTTCGCTGGCTGCTGAAGATGGGGATGGAGTGCTTATGGGAATGCCCCGAGTGCTGTATGTCGGTTCTTGAATCAAATCAAATGAAACATCTATAAATACTGTCTCTATATAACATAAAAAGTGATAACTGAGTATCTACAAGTGATTTCTTTATGTAATATGTGTCCATAGAATCTCCATTTGATGTAGAATCTACAAGTGGTATTTTGATGTAACTACAAGTACATCTTCAAGTGATATCTCCATGCAATATCTAAAGTGATATCTTCATATAACATCTACAAGTAATATCTTCATATAATATCTACAAGTGATATCTTCATGTAACATCTAAAAGTAAGCTATCCATCTAACATATACAAATTATATCTACATGTAACATCTACAAATGTGTCTCCATGAAACCTCATGAGTGATGTCTCAATGAACATCTACAAGTAATGTTTCTCTATAATTGTCTACAAGTGATATGTCTACATGGGAAATCTACATGTGTCAACTGTCTCATTCTACTCGCTCAAGACTGCGTGACTATATGCAATTTAAATTTTTAAAAATGTTAATAACTGTATACCAGTGTAGAAGAGTAAAGAACTTAAATGTAGAATTCAAATGTACTTGAAACATCAAACCTTGACGCAAACTTACATCTGACAGCTCTCAAACATGAACCACTGAATCCACTGTCAGCTCTGCCAGACTGGAGGTCCACAGTGGAATTAATGATGCGACTTGAAGATGACTTTGTGCTGCGAGCTTGTTCAGACACGTACATCTGAAAATAAATCCCACCATAACAGGACTTTATACTACAGCTCATCGAGTAACCCATCCTTGAGTGGGTACTGGGTGCAGTCCCGGGAAGTAAAGGTGGCTGGTGTGATGCTGACCACATCACCCATCTTGTGATCTTTAAAAATATGGGTCTAGCCCTATAAGCCCTATATGGCGTGGAAAAGGGTCCTTTACTTTACCTTTACTTTACCTTTACTTTACCTTTACCTTTACTTTACCTTTACTTTACCTTTACTTTACCTTTACTTTACCTTTACTTTACCTTTACTTTACCTTTACTTTACCTTTACTTTACCTTTACTTTACCTTTACTTTACCTTTACTTTACCTTTACTTTACCTTTACTTTACCTTTACTTTACCTTTACTTTACCTTTACTTTACCTTTACTTTACCTTTACTTTACCTTTACTTTACCTTTACTTTACCTTTACTTTACCTTTACTTTACCTTTACTTTACCTTTACTTTACTTATTGATTCATCATTAAGATTATCGTCCAGTTGATTCCATGTTGAGAGAAAAAATCTACTCAAGAACTTAATTACAACTGACAAGATTGATGGACAGAGATCTGAGCTCCGGTGTTTCACTACCTATGAGCTCCGGTGTTTCACTACCTATGAGCTCCGGTGTTTCACTACCTATGAGCTCCGGTGTTTCACTACCTATGAGCTCTGGTGTTTCACTACCTATGAGCTCTGGTGTTTAACTACCTATGAGCTCTGGTGTTTCACTACCTATGAGCTCCGATGTTTCACTACTGATGAGCTCTGGTGTTTCACTACCTATGAGCTCTGGTGTTTCACTACCTATGAGCTCCGGTGTTTCACTACTGATGAGCTCTGGTGTTTCACTACCTATGAGCTCTGGTGTTTCACTACTGATGAGCTCCGGTGTTTCACTACTGATGAGCTCCGGTGTTTCACTACCGATGAGCTCTGGTGTTTAACTACCTATGAGCTCTGGTGTTTCACTACCGATTAGCTCCGGTGTTTCACTACTGATGAGCTCCGGTGTTTCACTACTGATGAGCTCCGGTGTTTTACTACTGATGAGCTCCGGTGTTTCACTACTGATGAGCTCCGGTGTTTCACTACTGATGAGCTCCGGTGTTTCACTACTGATGAGCTCCGGTGTAGGTACAGCCTCATGAAATCTTCTTCTTCCTTGCGTTCACCAGCTGTTAACTGCAGTGAAAACTTCTAGTTGTTCGTCCATCTCTGGATTTTGAGTCTTCTTCCGAAACTGAGTTTTGCATGCACATCCATTTTACAGATCTGACTTATTTGTATGCAAATTGTTGATTCCTTGCTTCTCAGGCAGATGCATGGCTGGTCATTCTTCCTCTTCCTCAGTAAAACCATCACAGAGTTTATTAGTAGTCTAACACTGTATGAGAATCTTAAGAAGTACACTGAAGTTTGAAACATGTCTTAATCTCACAGCTCATCAAAACAAAAAGCCCTTTTCCCTTCAGGCAGTGGAGAATTGGCAACAGTCTACAGTGTGACAATCAAAGCTCTGGGAACCAAATATCCACAAGGATAAGTCGACAGCTCTGAGGTACCCTTTAAAATTAGCAATAGCACCACACAGCAGAGTAATCTGCCGGGTAGTTAGCGTCCTTTGGATTTTTTCTCCAGGTTATGCTGCTGTGTTGATAAATAAGCAAGCAGATAAGACTGCCGGTTCTGCACCACTTGGTGGTGAACTGATATATGACAAGCTGATGTTGTGAGGGCTCTTTGGGAGTGAGTCAACAGTGCGGAGTCACAAACAGATCATTATGGTCTGAGGAGAATGGTGCTGCGGGAGTTAGAGAATCTGGCCGATGCTCAGCACTCACAGGAAGGGCAAGACGGATATACAAAAATGAAGATGGGGACAGAGCGCTTATGAGAGTGTCCCCAAGTGCTATGATGTTGATTCTTTATTCAAAATTTTACCGAGTAATCCCATTTACTCAGGCAATTGAAAAGGTTGCTCAAGGCTGAAGATGAGGTCTAAAATAAGATGGATGTGGATACGAAAGCAACATTCTCAAATTCACTCAAGAAACAAATTCTTACAACTGAAAAAAGAAACTAAGAAATCATGGTGAGACTGAGGGTCCCAAGCTAGTAGATTACTGACATGAAATAGAGAAGATAATGATATCAGAACAAGCATGAACAGAAGTGATTATAATGTATGTGTGATGGCAAAAGTGCCAACAATCTGAAAAAGAAAATAAGGATGGGATCAAGGAAATAAATCAGTGAAAATACCGAGATATGAGAAATGGCATTTAATCAAGAGCTTTTTTTTTGTTGTTTCAGGCCATGATAGGAGTACAGTTAGTAGCGTATCCTTTACAGGGCATTGTAGAACCAACACCATAAATTTTTTTGGTTGTTGTGGTTTTTGTAAACACATTTTACGTTCAGTAGTTTGTCACTGCTTTCTGATGATACCACTGTCAAAACCAACGAAAGACAAATCATCTGCAGTTGGGGTTGAATCCAGCACCCCCGGCATTATGAAGCATGTTTGCAACACCTAAGCCACAAATGCCGACATGGTGGGAGTAATGTTCTACAAACAACTTGGTCCACGATGATGAAAAAAACTATATCACTAATAAATTATATCTGACATAGGATGACTTCATCTGGGAATCAGTCTGAAGGAGATCACAGATAAAAATACAACTGACTGAACTTAAAGATTATAATTACAAATTATAAATAACCTCAAAATGTGTCTTATTTACCTCATTTTTCATGCCAGGATAAGGATCATTATCAATATCATCGCCGTAGCTAACATCCCAAGCGTTGCGTGACAACCGGCTTCCTGGTTGTTGTGACATCATTGCTGTAAGCCGGAAAAAAAATTTACTGAATTTTAAAATAACAGTGAGCCAGTTGAAACTTCACAATTGTGAACAACACTGATAAATCTTCTTATTCTCAGATACTCACCCATGAAATGGTGGCTGGCACATTGTGTTGTGGTTTACAGCAAGGCTGTGATATCTTACATAATTTGGCCCAAGACCTCTAATTAGTCTCCATTTAACAACATACTTATTAGGGATGCTGTTGGTATATTTTTTCCACTAACAGTGGGACCCCCCCAAAAAAAAATCATATAGAAAACTACTACATCAAAAGCATATAATGGAAAGTTAAGACCTTAGTGGTCTGTAAAAAAAAAAGAGAATATTTTTCCTGGATGTTTTCGGGGATAACCATTAGAGTCAAATAAGCTCTTAACCTTTTTTTTTCTCCAAGATATGCAGGAGTCAATGGAAATGAAAGAGCTGATAGGTTGGCTGGATCCGCTATCACTACCGACGGTCAGCCTATGGATCATGCTGATATTATCAATGCCCTCAGAGAAATGGGAAGGATAGAGGACTTTGGTGGCAGTGAATCCACATCACTCGCCAGAATAGTAGACTTGGGAATTAAGATCGGCACAGCAAAAAACGAGACGCACACCAGACACATCAGAAGACTTGTTAATCAACATAGAACTGGTACTATTAGCCATCGGACGTTGGGGTTCATACTGAGGGGAGGATCTGAGCACCTATGGACATGTCCGGAGTGCAATGATGATAACCCAACTAACTAACTAACTAACTAACTAACCTCTTAAGATTTATTATCATTTCTCCTTGGATGTTTTTTGGGAACAACAATTCAAGAGAATTTATTGTGAGCTGTTTAAAATAACTGGAACATAAGATCTGATTCCAGAACTGTCCCTGAAAATTAGGGACAAATGGTAACTTTACAGTAAGATCTATTAACAGGAAAACAGCTAGCGTCAGTAATATTTTGCTGTATTCTATTACAGACAGAGCAGGAGCACCGACGCAAAGAAAACATTGGCATCGGGGGCCTCAGTGTTGAGGGTCCCTCGTACTTTTGGAAGGTCGAAGGGGGTGGGGGGTCAAGAGGCTCCCTGTAAGCATGTATATAAATTCAATTTAACTATTTGATTCACAATTTCAAATTATTTCATATATATATATTTATTTTTGTATTATTTGCCATTCCACATTTAATTATTGTTATATTTGTAGTCATGTGTTAAATGTCAAAAAAATGTAATATATATGAAATTTACAAATGAAGACAATTAAGAGAATTTATATAAATGATTATAGGGGCCTCTTAGTCCTCATACAGAGTTACTGGGAGGGGAAGCAGTCTCCCCCCCCCCCCCCCAGCCTGAAAAATATGCGGTCCCATGGGGCCACAGGTACCAGCACCAGTAAGACAGAGGTTATATTAACACTTTGTATCTGAATTATTATTTTGACTACACCTACTTCAGACTGTCTCTGTTTAACTATTTGAAACCACAGTATTCACTTTTCTTAAGCTCAATGCCTGGAAAAGTATAGAGTTAAAATAACTGTTTGGGACTGAAAGAGTTAAAGGCATTATAAATTTAAGGGAAAGTTACTACAGATCTTAGTTGTCAGCACTGTCAAGCCACTGGACAGAACAATTAGTTCTTTTGGTACGAAACAACACTTTGTTTGTTTACAGGATAATCTTTATACAGTTTTTAAATCTTTACATTTTCTGAAATTATATTGATTTTTTCTGCTGTTACATTGTACAACCTTTGCAATTGTCACTCTAATTCTTTCTGCTCCAGTTTAAGTATAACAATTCTCTCAATTAGAACAGTTTGCAAACTTTAAAGTAGCATCTGCTTGGGAAATATATACAGTAACAACTTTCAAGGACAGAAAAAACAAACCAGAATAAACGGTGATGAAGGAAGCCAGAATATGCTGGACTGGATTCCATCCATGATACCTAAGTGTTGGCAACTGACAGAAGTCGGAATGGAGACGTGGACTGCAAGTTGTAGGTGACATAGAATGGCACAACATGACAATGAATGAGTTATTGTTAAAAACTGAGGAAGGGAGGGGGGGGGGGGGACCAACCTTTTCTATGCCTTGATGCTTGTTGGGCGTGTGGTCCTATAGGTGTGTATACTAATCGATACTCGGTGAATGATGTTATCAATACCACGCTAGCTGCCTTTACATCCCAGAACAATTCCTGGTTCTTAATGTTGTCGACCTGGGAGTCATAAATTTTTTTTTTAAAATCCCTCCCAAAAAGGATTCGAACATCTATCATGCCCGCAAACAATGTACTGACGTCTTAGCATGTTTTTGGCTCTGTGTGTGTGTGTGGGGGGGGGGGGAGGTAAATATAGACGAACTAATACACTTTAAACAAACAAGAAAGGACTTGTGATCCGCATTCAAGAAATATCAGATACTGGCGGAACCACACCCAGCTAACACTATCAAAATGGCTTGTTTTTAGATGTTCACGTTTTGGGTACGGAACCAAACAAATAAATGTAAAGACAAGTTTCATATCATAATTGAAAATATAAAGACAAGTTTACTTACCCTTCACAGCAAATAACAGAAAGTGCTGATATCCTAGATGACTTCAGTTGTAAGTTTGGTAGTCGTGAGGTGAAGAAATCCACGGAAATGTTTACCAGTACACAAGAGGGCCAAGCACAAGTTAAGTGAGTGAACACTCAGTGAGCACCCGCCACTGAACTCAGCTCACCTACCCCAGGCAAACTTACCCCTCTCGTTGATTCACCTGTAGTCAGCCAATGGCCCACGAGGGTTCCCCGACTAATAAACCAATGAGACGGGACAAACTAATATGTTTGTTTTTCACTCAAGACTAAGTTTGTTTTTCTTAGCTGACACGAATACGTCAGAATTCAGAATTATACAACTTTCATCTTTTATAAACAAATATTTGAAAAGCACACTGAAAATATAATAAACTTAACAATGTTTAGTTATAATTCAGATGTGTTGAACGGGATATCGCTGTTTAAACTTCTACTATTATTACTACTGCTATGCTGCTGCTGCTGCTACTGCTGCTACTACTACTGCTGCTGCTACACACTGCTACTGCTGTTATTTTCATCTTGATGTTTTTAATTTTGTTTTTATAGAACTTTGTTCAAGTTTCTGCACGTTCGAATTTCTAGTTAAAAGGTGAAAATATGCTGAAGTGTGTCAAGACCATGAAGTTTGTGAAACAGAGAGTGGAAACAATCTACAGTCTGGCCTAGGCAAGACAGATGACGGCCATAATTACGGCTAATCACTAAATGCGAGCAAAACTTAATATATTCTTAAAGAGCCTTCTCTGCGCCTTCACGGTAAGTAAGTAAAGGTAAAGGACCCTTTTCCATCATAGGGGCATATAAATATATTTTTTATATAGACCAACGGCAGCAAGATGGGTGATGTGGTAGCATCATATTACTTCCCGGGATTGCACCCGGTAACTCAAGGCTGGGTCGACCTGGGAGCCAAGGTCATTTTCTGAAAAGTCCGTCTCCAGGTGATAGCGCGGCGTATAGTGCTATAGTGCTAGACCTTTATTTGTAGACCAATCAGCACACGATTAGGGATGCGGTCTACATGACGATGGCCGCCATTATTTCCCAGGACTTTACCTAGTACTTATTTAAAGCTGGGTCGACCTGGGAGCCAAAGTTAATTTTTTTTTTAAAAAGGCCGTTCGGATTTTAATGAACCATCTTCGGATCAACGCCTTCTTCAGCTACAGAAGGCGTTGTTCGGATCAACGCCTTCTTCAGCTACAGAAGGCGTTGTTCGGATCAACGCCTTCTTCAGCTACAGAAGGCGTTGTTCGGATCAACGGAAGAGAGTTTAGCCGCTACACCACTGTGGCTCCTTAGATGCCCTACAGTTTCCGAGAAAGCTTCATTCCCCCCCCCCCTAACCCGCCCCCCCCCCCCCACATCCACACACACATTTGCGGGCGAAAATACACGAACACAATTCTAAGATTCAGAACTACTCCCTCACCTCCAGCTTATGTTGGAGACACAAATTGCTAAATATTTGTATTTGCATGAATAATAAAGAACCTCTAACACTAACACGATTGCATGATGTGGGAGTAAAGCATGACGAATGACGTCTATGCTGCCTTGAAGAACGAGATAGGAGACGTTACAACCATTTTCTCAAAGAAACAGTCAGTAAAGATACTTTGGAGTAGCTGCTGCATCGGAGGACTGAGCACGCATGGGAGTGCGGGCAGTGAAGTCGGCTGTGATAACACAAGGAAACGATTGGAGATGCTACTGTTTTTACTACAGGCTTTTACCTCAGCTAGTGCACAAAAGAAAGCAACGTTATACAAATACAACTGTAACGGGGCTAGAGGTGGACCACGCAGAACATGGACCGCAGAAATATCAGAGACACTGAAAAGTACTTTATACGAAGCGAACAGAAGGGCAACAAAGAAGAACAAAGATAATCTAGTAATAGGGCAACTATCTTCCTATCTTCCCTGTTGATACACAAGCGGATACCCCGTAGTGCAAAAGTGAATCTTATTTGAACTATTCTTTGGCCAACACTATGCTATCAATGCCAAACGTGGACACTTACATCCTCCAATGAACGTACAATTGTGACAACAGAGATAAAATGCCGTTGAAGAGCTGCAGGAGTTTCAAGGAAAGAGAATATGAAATCTCGAAATCAGAAGAATGCTAGGAATAAAGCCAGTCAGTCTTACAGGTTATCACAGAACAACAAATAAAGTAGTTTGGACACTTAACAAGAATGCCCTGGTACTATCCGCCACAGCGAGCCACACTTAAACGTTACAACGGGTATAGAGCGAGTGTAAGACTTCGGTAAATATGGAGTGATGGCATTAAGAACAGCCTTACAAAAATAAACATCAGTCCTTATTTTGTTCTTGAAAACCTCATCAACGAATATAAATTTTAACCAGGTTACTA